GACAGTTATAGACTAGGAATTCATTCCATGTCCTCTGCCTGCCAATGTGCTCAATACCTGGGGTTGTGTCTTTGTAGTGAGTGAAATAGAGGCAAGAGAGGGGTGCAATTGCTGCCTGACTTTCTCCAGCCCTTCTACACTCTGCAAAACAGGACCCCTACAAAAAGCCTTTTCCAGAAGGGACCCAAGGGTGACAGAGAAATTGGTCCACTGCTTCTGTACGTAGACTCTGGTGCTAAAACAACGTCCCCCACACAAACGTGTAAATTATCTCGGCTTGTGCAAGCCAACATCACTACAAAGGAAGACTGTTATTACACAGAATAGAGGCGTGCCTTAGAATTGCCTTTGCACTAGAAACTTACAGCCGTTTGGGGGCATGTTCGCAGAAAGGCAACGTCCTGCTCTTTCTACCACTAGCAAATTGGATTTGGGCCCATTTTATGACCGTGGCACGAAAGCTTTTTCCTGCATCATTTGTTTTACAGAAAATTAGGCAGTATGAAGTAATGACAAGATATTTTCTTAATTATAGTTTAATTAAAAACGTAAACCCCAGACTTTTCTTCTTCCCTTGTAATTGTGCATATTATTTAAAAATGAGGAGAAACTGAGGACATTTAAATATGAAAACACCACAGTAAGTCTACCTTACTAAAGGTCACTTTCTTGTTAAAGTGTCCCATTATCAAATGCAACCACTTATGCACTAGCAAGATCTGAATAAACGCCACATACCATCCACTGATGGGCCAATGTTTTAATATTTTAACTAAAAATGCCACTCTGTTCACAACAGAAAATAATAATTCATTTAATGTTTTCAAATATTCTTCTGAAGTCATCTTATTTAAAGGCCTGGAAGAACTATTTTAATATTAGACTACAAAATCCGAAGAAAATAGAAACAGAACTAAGTTTTCAACTCAGAAACAGGTGGTGGGGAATTTATTACTGTCTACCTTTCCAAAATCATCTTCCACCACACCTCCAAAAATTGTACTAGGATAAAATACTCTAGAAATCAATTAGAAGCACAGAGCATTTTAAAACTACACATGAAACTGTACATATGGTATCCAAGTGTATGTTAGAATCTCATTCTATTTGAATAAAACATGACATTTCAAAATAAATTAAGAGAAAACAAAGAAGATGAAAGTGAGAATATCTTATGACCTTCTTGGAAGATGTTATTATTTTTCAATGCAGTGGATGTTTTCTGTGCCAAAGCTAGAAATCAAAATATAGATATATAATACTGAGTTAACTTCTGATAAAGTGCACATGCGCAAACATAAAGTCCTTGAAAATTTTACATCTTAGTTGGAAAACCTGGGGAATAGTCATGGGCTTTGTAGACCGACCTTTCCATCACCAATATTCACACCTTTTGGAAGCACTGGAAAAAATGCAGGAGCAGAGAACTGTGAAGGCAACCCAAGAATCACCAGTGTCCTACATGACTTGCGCTCACTGAACCCACCTCCACCAGTATGACTTGCCCTGAGTTGCTTTCCTATAAACTCAAATCTAAATAGGCTATCTGTTTTTTTATGTTTGTCATTGAAGACTGTTCTGGACCGTTCCTCTTTATTCTAGTTTTATCCTCATGAGCAACCCAGAAACTCGTAGGTTGTGTGTTGTAATGCTGATCTGCATAACAGTGCGCACCTACAGGACAGGGGTATTTTACTGTGCATCTCTTGGTTTAGCCAAAACCCACGTTCCTCTATGTAACTGCAGAGGTAATAGAAAAAATTCCACTGAAATATTGGCGAATGAACCCTATGGGTCCTGAAGCACTGAGTCTTTAAACGCAGACAGTCCGTCACATTGCATAGTCCATAGCAACATCTCCCAAGAGCTATGAGGAGCAGAGAGGAGGTGCTCGTGATCCCCAATAGACTCAATACTACGGAAAGATCTTACTGATTTCAGCCTCTGCACAGGTCTGTTACTTCCACTTTTTGTTTCCGTTCTCCCTGTACCCATGTCACGCTCGGCCAGCAGTTTGCTAGCTCAGTGCTCAAACGCCTAACACTAAGCCGTGCCTCAGAAGAGATTACCATCACATTACTACCGTGGGAGCACAGGCTGTCTTTGCAAAACTAAGTTCTGATGACCTTACAGAGAAACATACATGTTATGTAACTGTTCCCAAGTTTTTATCTTTTTTTTTTTAACTAGCACTAACTTAGCTGCACTAAGCTCAACTTCAGTGCAGCAGCAATGATGAAGAAAAATATCTGTACAACTAATATACACCACACAAACACCTCTCCCTACTTCTTTCCTAGAGAGTAGGAAGAGTATTATTTCTTATCGTTTACTTTTTTGTACGAACTCTCCCTCACAATAGGTACAACACCGAGTTAAACAGGTTACAGTTCCACCCATCCAGTTTCCAGATTTTCTGTCTTCATGGACTGTAAAGAAACTTGCATTGCATGAAGAGACTCATGCACTTCTAATTTCTGAGCAGGTTTCATCACAGGAATAACTTCATTCCCATTTACTGCGGTGAAATCCCTACCTGCTGATATAAGGACCTTGTTTGCATTCCTGGGTATAATATGATACCATTTATGAAACGAGACTTACGCAGTTCATGGCTTGTTAAGCCAGAGGAGGAAGTAGAAACTGGATACAAACAGCACAGTAGTAACACCATTGTTCTTTCTGAATTGAGCTTAGCACTGTCTTCTCAAAATACTGTTTTTCTTAGCAAATTGCTCTTGATACAGGTACTTCAGTGGATGTTTGCATTCAGTGAATACAGCTGTGTTTCTTTAGGTAGCCTCTTAGAAGTGGGACTGGGAGTAACCTCTCCAGCCATTCATTTTCTTTTTCTGCTATAATTTATCCCACACTGCTGTTGTCCTATTTCTAAAAGCAGTGAGCTGAGGCTTGACGATTCACTAAAGCATGACAATAGTAGCGATACAAACTGCAATGACAAGTTTTTACAAGCAAGGAAACAGTTCCTAACTAAATTCTTGCTACTGTACAGAAAAATCATCGGAACCTAATGACAAAACTCCCATTGTTTTTGATGAGAGAGGGTTCATCCTATTAATAATTTAACAGCCTGGGCAATCTTTCCCTCTTATTGTATTAGTGGAATTGCCTGATGGATTGGCTTAAGTGGACCTGCTCTGTTTTTCTGATCAGTGTAAAACCACACAGTTTGGCCCAATGTACTGAAGAACTGTTTTTAACCTATAGGTTCATTTCAGACACCTAAACTTACTGAATGCCAACACTGCAGCAAACAAAAATAGAACATACATTTTTTTGAGAATGTAATATCAAATCATATCACCTTCCATAACTTTCATAGGAGCCAACAACGACTCATGAAACAAAGCAAGCAGTGCAACGCACTAACCAAAGCTTTCTGTTTACTAGAAGCAAAGAACCATACAAAAAAGCAAAGCCAGAAATATCCATATACCTGGGGGGTTCAGAAGGCTGCAAAAGTAAAATGCAGAAGACTGTATGGTATTGATAAATAAAATGGTGACCTCTCTGGTCTTACTTGTTTTGTGATGCAACCTGTGATTTCTGCCAAACACTTATAACAGATCTCATCGCAACATGAACTGATAGTGTGATATGTTAACATCATCACTAATGTATGCCAGGATTACACTTTTCTTTCTTCAGTTAGACATCTTTCCTTCAGGCCATCAGACTTTGGAGGGCTGTATAAAAACCTACTTCTTCAAACCAAGAAAATCCTTATGAATTTTGGCACAATTAAACCAATTTTAAATTAAACGGTTTGCTGATTCCTATTTTTCATTTGAAATTGGGCCTACACCACAAAGTTCAGATCCAATTCCAGATTTTAAATCCAATGAAGAACTCAGTGAAGACTACATTTGCTTTCTCTTTCAGAATTATCTATAAATAATGTTCAGCAAAAGAAAGGAGATAAAAAATAAGAATTTTAATATCCTGTTTCACCATTCTTCTCTATTCTTTTCTAATATCAGATAAACTAGTAATACAACATATAATAAATATTTGAGGGGAAATAGCAATGAATCTGCATTGTGCTTTCTAAAGTCTGTTCTTGAAAGGCTGATTACTCACAAATTGTAATGGGTCTATTATATAAAATTTATCTTTCTTTCACAATATGATTCTTTAGCCTTAATATTCACTTCATTCCCACAGATTACAATAGAAGATGTATAAGAACAATAGTAGATGGGACCAGATGGAGCTATAGAAATACTCTCCCTTTTTAGATACATGCATACGGTTCAGGACCAAAAAGCAAAAACATGTCTTAAGACTTTTAGTCCTCATTACCAGACTAACAAGAATAAACTTAATGCATGCATAGATCGCCAGCTCTTTACACACTGGGCCAAAGAAATTTTTATTAAAAAAAAGCAACCAAATAAAAAAACTCACAATGTTTAACTTCTGGCCATTCTCAAACCAGCCTGCCCCAACCCGTAAAGCACTGCTTTTCCTTTCTTATAACCTCTCCTATGCTCCTCACAATGATACCTTCATTCCTTGAAGCACAGCTGAGCCCCAAAACAAAACAAGCACATTTTCAACATTTCTCTACCTATTCCTCTGGAAAACAAAACACAACCTTCCCAAAACCTAAACCTTGCCTCATGCAAATTCACCGTTTGCTAAGGTTTCGAGAAGTGGAGGTTAACACGGTTTTCTTTCCACCTGACAGAGAAACATAGATGGTCAAATGCCACTGTAGGGCTGGGTTCCTACCTGAAAGGCATACTACCTAAGAAAAGCTATGTATTTCTTCTTTAAGAACAGTTCCTAAATGCTCATATTATTCCTTTATTCCTTTTATTCCTCCTCAGGCGTCCCCTTTGCCTTCCCAAGCAGCCAATTCCCTTAATAGGGTTCCTTTAAATTCCCTTCAAAGGGCTTAGCTAGCCTTTTTATTGTCCTTTAGGTAGTCAGACACTGGGACTTCCTATCTCTTTTCTTCTTACAGGAGGAACCAAACATGCATTTGTCCTTTAAATATAAGTTTCAGTGTTACATGGAGCAGGGAACTCATCTGAGAAGACATACGAACACAAGAGAGCACTGCAAATTACGGAGGTAAGTGAACAAAACCATGCAGGAATTCAGGGGGGGTGGGGGGATAGTATCTTTCCTTATGTTACAGGCATGCACTGACACTGATAATCTTTAACGTTTTCATCCACATGGACGACTATAAAAGCATTAATACAGACAATGAAAAGAGCAGCTTGCTGTAGTTTCAAAGCATGGTTATAGCAACACATAGTTAATAATACTTTATACGTGTAAAAGCAGAAATACCATCATCATTTGCTATTGAAACAAACAAGAAAAATCCATTTGCAACATCCACCTCTACTCCCAAATCATATTCAGAAAGAGTTAAAATATGAAATAAAATTATAAAGGCACCAATGATATTTTTATAACAGAGCTATCGCTAGTAAGCTGTATTTTAGAGAAACACTGCACATTTTGATGACTGTCAAAATTTACATAACTTACCCTACATGAATTAACTATGAGGTATAAAATGCAACTTTGGCTAAATAAACCCTCAGCAATTGTAAAGCAGTATTTCAAGCATCGCTAGCATAACACCAGCCTGAAACATTAAACAAAAAAGATGCATGCTGAGTGATCTCCCCAATATTTAGTTATTGTTGTGGAATAAATTAAACAATCGCAGATGATAATCTTTAGAAATACAGATCATAATTCTAGTTACTATAGTACTTTTTATTTTTATTTTTAATGAGTGTTTGTCAATTCAGTGTCTAGAATCAAAACTCTGACATATTAGGGTAATGAACTGGGTCCGGGAATTACCAGAAAACACATAAATACTAGAATTTCTTGAAAACATGAAGTGTTAAGAGAAACAAATTCCAGTCTTTAACATCTGTCCTACAGATTCTTACCATTTATCTGCTGATCAAAATTTCGAACGGTGCCAAAAAAAATCATGAAGTCAAAAGGACTTGGTGGGGGGATCTTTGTTTCTCTCTAAAAGCCTAAAAGTTATACTCAACTGCAGCACAAAGAGTAAAGAGGTTGTTATTCATATTAACTACATTTACATTCCTATCGCAACATCCAGAGAGCTAATAGTGGGGTTATTAACATAACAAACGTAAATGTTCTATATAAATAATACTGTTTCAGGCCAGCAACCGCTCATCTGACAGCATTTAGGCACAGGCTCAACATCTGTTTATGAACACTTTGCCTAATGATATCATCAGATATCATTAAGTGCGGCAGAATACAGCACAGAGGCAGGTGCAGCTGCCTTCAGTACCCATCACAGAGGAAGAAAAGAGCTGCATTCCCGATCCGAAAACCCATCATTAGGACAATTTTCTTCGACAAACCAGCCCTGTGATTTCAATCTGTATATCACCTGTAATTGTAGTTTTTAGCAAGAAGCTGATTCTATACATTTAGCGACGAATCACGTTGATGGCCTGAATACTGGAAACACATTTGTGCTACCAGCTGCGGCAGCTTTTTTTAGAGCCTGTGTTAACAAAATACTGCTAACAAGGCAATGCTTGGAGTGCAGCTTTGTTTCTCTTTCTTGTTCATAGTGTTTAGATGTGCATAATTATGGAGATTAGCAATTGATTGCTTCTCAATAATAATTGATTATTGGTCACTGAACCTTCTCCAAAGCACTTCACTGAAGGTGAGGACAGGTGATAAGTTCATTCTTAGCAGATCTAGAAAACGTAAAGGAAAGGTCCACAAGAACCTTCGATTTGTACATCAGTTTCCATGATAAACAGACCAAAGGGATAATAGAATATCCCAAAGCCTCGTTTGCCCGGAGGCAAATTGTAGAGATCATAGCAAGCCTGCAGAATTCTCCCTGTGGACTATGTAAGAAACATACATCATTTTTATATATGTCAGTTGTTCTTTGATTTGAAAATATTTCTACCCATTTAATTTATCTTTTTCAGTCAGTTTTCTTAAATTGTACAATTTAGGGGTTATATCAAAGAACGAATATCATTTCTGAATACCCCTAAAATGAAACAAACTGACAAAATAAGGCAAGTCTCTTTAGTAGAAACATACAAATATTGAAGCGTCTATTGTCACTGACTTCAAAATCACTATACCCTTTTGATCTGCTTTATATCCATCAAAATTTTGGTCTGTAGCGACTGCCTTGATGCAACGTAACATAATGTTGGGAATATAACATGATGCCGCAGCTAAAATTTAAAGGCGAATGCTCTTATTTTTGGCTTAGTCGCCCACTGTCAATTTGGACAGCAAATATCCAATTTAAATTTATTGGAGTGCATGGAAGCCACTCAGACAATAAAGTATCTGTAGCATTCGTAAAATGGTAAACATCGTTACTTGCTGGCTATTCAAAAGTATTTTGAACAGTTCAGACCAGTATTTCTAACCCTGTTGTGTTTACAGAAAAACGTAACTGCAAGCCGGACATATCGTACTACCCATCTTTAGATGAGCTTTTTTTTTAAATGCAGAATTTTACAAGGACAAGCCTCTCCTATGGCAGTGAACTTTACAACCCGATTCATGAAAAATGTAGTTTGTTTAAAGATAGCCTGCTCCTTCTCTACAACATTTTCATGCTAAAATGAGAAACAGATTGCACAATCGTGATTCGAAAGGAAAATACCCAAGATAGAGGGTGAAGTTTAAGCAAGAGGAAAGGCTGGGACCAGAGTCAGTGCTCTCTTTCTGCCTAAGGAAGCGTCTCACATAATGAATAAGATCAGTTTTAAGAGAGGCTCGTTCAGCCTTTGTGCTGCTTTCCTCAAGAGCAGCACAATGGTAGCAAATACTCAAATTTCACAACACAGGCATGATGCAATCCCGCACTGTGATACAAAGAGCTATTCTGTGCTTGCACCCAACCACTTTTTACCAGCTTCTACAGGTGGAGCTGAAAGGACAGAGAAGGTGGTTCAATCTGAAGTATTTTAAATGGCAGCAAATATTTTGTGAGCCTAGGAATTACTCTATCCAGGATGAAATCTTCAAAACATGGGTATAATGTATCCGTGCGCTCACTTTGCAAAACGGGCTTTCCTTTTAAAGCAGCTTTAACCCAACCTCTGTGCACACAATTAGATGAGGAGCTAATTTCCAAGCACAATGACTTGCAGGTGCAAATAGTGATATAGATAACAAACTATCTGATCTGTGGGCACAGATAGACGGTTAGACATCTAGAATCCTTATGTGCAGCCATAAATAATTGCATCCTCAATTATTTATACAAATAAGGAGAGAAGGCCAGCCTGGGGAAAAAAGAAAGAAAGAAGGAAGGAAGGAAAGAAGGAAAGAAAGAAAAACTAGAATCAAAACAAAGAAGTACTTCATGCAGTACATACTATTTTTGGTAGTAAGCCCCAAAATTTTCAGAATGCAGAGGCAATGTGAGAACTGCACACTACTTACTGCTCCTGTTTTGCCAAATATAGATTATTTATCTTTTAAACAAAGATCACTGTAGGATTTGCACCACAGCAGATGAACTAATAGAGGTGCTCTTGTGTAGAGTGAAGGTATGAACCAGTAATGTAAACAGGGAATTGCTTCAGTGCCTTTTATGGCTGTTTGAAAATAGTTCCTGCCACATTTTATATTAGTTTTTAATGTGTCTATGTTACAAAAGTGCATGGATGCAACTGTACAGATGCCTGGCACTTTTCTCCTCCAAAACACTCCTCAGAACAACCCATTTAGAATAGACAAAGCCTAAACAAAGCTTTAATAAAAATAGGAAGAATCCTCACAAAATGCTCTGGTGTATATGTGCAAGTAATGCTAACTATTACACAAATGATACTAACACACACATTACAGATATATATGTAAAATAGTATAAACATTAGGAAGTTCGGGAAAGCCAATTATTTTAAAGTTTGAATAACGTCTGTGTGATCATTATCCATTTCCCAAATGCATACATACTTCAATGATCTTTAACCACATGACCATATATACACTTTTTCCATAGGATCTTGCCTCATTCAGAGCACAGAATGACCAGTTTGTTTGATGCAAAGCTATTCAATATTTCATTTTCTCTACTACTCTCTTGTTAATTATTACACAGTATTTAGCTTCAATTCTGAATTATAAATTTCTTTGCATGTTTTTCTGCAGCATTCACCAAACAGAATTTGAATGTTTTGGTTCTTAATTAATTCATTTCACAATACTCGAAATAAGAGGTTGTCATTCTGTCAGCTGAAAATTTCCACAATTGAGAATTTTAGGAATGATGAGATTAAGATCAAAAGTATCTACTAACTTGGTGTATCCACTACAAGAAATTTAGAAGCTGGGTTTTTGGGTTTGTTTTCAGAATAATGTTAGACAGTATTTTATTAGGTCAAAAGTACAACTCCCGCTGATGTCAGTTACAGCAGTGAGCCGTCAGAAGTTCTGCAACCCATTTCTGGAGTCGCAGGGTAGACCCCCCAGAAAATGAAGAACACACCAGTGTGATAAACTGTACAAATAAAAGCAGAAATGGTGCATGTGAATCGCACAATTGCATGGACCTCAGTGATTGCAGCCGGCCAGCTAGCCAGGCTTTCAGGATCTACAGCAAACAAGTCAAATTCCTTATTTACCCCAAAGACATTTTCCTCTGTGTAATGAAAGATCTAAGAGTTCTCTGAAAAAGGCAGAATGTGATCACCTAACTGAAGACTGTATCATGATATATACGTATACACACTGTTCATTTAAGTTTGTGCAGTTTTGATATTTCCTAACTTTAGAGAGCCTTATTCAAATCACAGTAAAAATTCTGGTTTTATGCCGTATTTTCTAATTCTTTTCCTGTATTATAAACTCAAACATGGTTTAGTTATATAGACACACCATACAGATTTCTGTTTTTGCAAATAATGAAGTCCATACAACATTTTGCTGCTCTATGCATGGATGACTAACCTTTACTAGTGGGTTTTCAAGTTAGTTGCGGACAGTGAAGGAATAGTGATCCAGAGAAATTATCAACAGCTAACCTCTTCATCTGCGCCTGCTGCCTGCATCTCTGTCTCCCACACTTT